GAACTATTGATATAAAAATAGACCACGGTGCTAATGTAAATGAATCCACAGAAGCTGAATGAGGAAGTTTTGGCTAAAATTACTGTGAGTAATTTCATATATCTGTATTGATGATTCTCTTGTTTTGTTTATTTTGTGGTAGTCTACAGGAGACTGTTAGTACAACATAAATGAATAACTACAAAATGTTAAAATCCTATAACCCCAAGTGCTTTTGAAAGCGCTCGGGTTATAGGGTTTTTATCATTTTGTATCAAGACTTCTTGAACCTACATGTTTTTCTGACATCATGAATGAATAACTACATTCAGGGAGTTTAAATATTAGACTTTCTCTTTTGGATAAATTTGTAATTTTTTTCCCTAACCCTTCAATAAAGAGTTCCCAATAGATACATCTAATTTTTTATGCTAGAACATAAAACATCCTCATAAATTTCGTCCACCTTCAGGAATAGTTAGAAACACTAAACAGGTTATCTGAAATGCAGCAGCTAAGTAATAGAATATTAAATTTATCAAAAAGAGTAAAGAAAATGGATTAATATCAAAAATGCCCATAAAGAAACACCATTAATGAAATGTTTATTATAATAATACTGAATACATGTACAAAGATTTGAAGAGTACATAAAGGTTGCCGAGTATGATGAGCTTTCTGGCAGGTCAAGTTTGAACCAACAACTTTACAATATAAACTATTAATAGTGTAACTTTAAATAATAATAAAAAATGGAAAAACTAGGTAATAAAGTGCTAAACAAACTGATTTCTTCACAATACTGTACATCTTAATGTTACCTGGACTATAGTTTACATATAGCTTTAATTATGCATTGTTTCAAATTATTCAGTCAAGGACCAAACATCATATTTTGAATGCAAGATTGGTAATTATACCTTGAATCTTTCAACAATTATATGTTAAATTTTATATTCTATTTCCACAATTTGTGATACAAATAAGGGTAATAACACACAAAATACTGAAATAAGCAGCACATTACAACTTTGCAGTTTAATTATTTTAAGTAAAACATTAAAAAATGCAAAAGGGATTGTTAAGAAATAGCATGTAAGACTTAATTTCAATAATAATCATTATTATTAAAAAACAAGACCAGTGAACACCTTTCATGTGTTGGTTGCACATCTGGATATCAAACTTCAAAATGCAAAGTAAAAATAATCATTTTAACTCTGTTCCTGTAAGTTGTTACTCAAAAATATTTTAGAATTGATATTTTGTTATATTATTACATTTATTTTGCATAATTTGCAAACAAAAGTGAAAAAAA